AGGGGATGAATTATTTTATGCTTTTGACATGAAACACAGTTGGTGCTTCTTTTTTCTAACTCACATTTTGCACTTAATAAAATTATTACAGTTCAGAAAAAAAATCGCATCTTATATTAAAAAATCCTGCACTAGAAGAAGCACACCAACATTTGTCTTTAATTAATTTCGACTCTCGAAGGAAGAGTCTTCGATTTGTTTTACTGAAAGAAAAAAGAAATTCCATTGTGAATTTGCTCGGTTTCTTAGACATCTAAGCTTAACAACTGACGACGAAGAAAACTTTCTACAGCTTTTAGTTTATCTAACTCGAGTTTCCTGTATACTTCTTCTTCTTCGCTTGTAACAAAGGAGTACTACTTCAAGTCACCAGCAATATATAGCTCAACATTTCCTGAAGAAAATTTTCTAAGTCTGCTTCATTACGGAAATGTTACTATTTGGTGACGATAAAATTTAATGTTTGTACAAGAGCTTCGATACACTACATAAATCTATTGATCTGATGAAATGAGAGACAAACGTTCTATGGACAAAACTGATTAGCCTACTAGGTTAAAGAAGAATAATTTCTATTTCGTAGTTCATAGTATTGTATGCTCATTAGATATCTCAAGCTTTAGCTATATTGAAACAAAAAATATATTGATTATGTCAAACAATAAATATTCAGTTAATTAACTTGAACAAAACTGATTTATCATAATATATAGAAAGTGTTTGAATGAAATATTATGAAAATATTTATTTAAATTTGCTAGTAAAATATCAGAAAAATGTTTAAAACTTTAAAAAAAAAAAGCTTCACATGATATAATATTAAGTCTTTATGGAAACTTAAAATATGACAATATGAAAGAATTTTTTCAAGAATAAAGTTTAATAGGTTTTTTCTGTTCTAAATGGAATGATGTTGTAATTATAAATATCTTTTAAATTAAAAAAAAAATGTTTACTTCTCGAAAGATGAATCAAAGAGTTTATTACATTTATTTTTATTATTGATAATGTGAGATGATATCATCTATGACCACAAGCAACCATTAGTGATCTTATCATCCAGGGATTATAAGAGTTGAAAAACAAGATTTCGAGATGTCAAAATCGATTAATTGTAGAATGACTAAATATAATTTTATATTTATACGTTCATGATCTACATATAAGTACCTTCTTATTGAAAAATTTCATAAAATGTCTTATTACCTCACGAATTATTTTAATAATAGATATTGAGACAATAAACATTAGTTGATTAATTAAATCATATAAAATATTAATGTTTTTTTTTAATAAATAGATGACCGTGAGCGAAATTCTACAAAAGTGTTCAGCAATTTTTATGTTTCTATTTCTTCGCTATCGAGTCACTAGAGAAAAAGTTTATTGTTATTGTTCATCCTTGAAGAAAAAGACTCTGACTTTAAATTAGATCGAGAATAAAGAGAGAAGCACTACAGAATTTATTGAGTTATTACAAAAATAGATCATAGATTAGATTTTTTCTTTAGTTTTCTCAAGTGGAAAATAGTATTATTTAACTTTAAATATTTTTATGGCATAATTCATCCTTTTCTCTTCTTCCTACATCGAGATTCTATTCTATAATTTTCTGAAATATAATCTAAAAAGAGTGTTGAAGTATATAGGATGAAAAGGACGGGGACGTATAAGATGTCAAATCGACTCACTAGTTCTTTTCTTAGTTAACTTCGTTAAAACATATATCAATGGAAAGAGTATGTTGAGACTAACATTTTGACACTAGTTTCATAAAGTTTTTATCGAATTTTGAAAGCTAAAAGTTATCCACAAAATAGCTCATTTTTCTTTTGTCAATTTTTTAATAATCGATCTTATCATGGTGAATTTAATTTCAGTATTAGTAGATAAGACAATATAGCACTGAAATTATGAATTTGATAGCTCTTTGATGGGACTTTAATATCATATATAAATCACCAATTAATTGTTTAATTCTATGAGATATAGATCCGATATATTGATAGACACTAATAGTATATTGACTATATTTATCATCCGTTCCTGTCTTCCAATCAATATTATAATTTGAAAATTGAAATAACCAAATTTTTGCTATTGCTTATTGGATAGCCCTATTAAAAAGTTTTGCCTCTTTTTAATCAATATTTAGAAGATTTCGATTAGCAGAAGTTCAATTTTAGTGAAAATTAATATGATATCTTGAATTAGCATAAAAATCTGAGTTGACCTATACGTGATTTAAAGAATTTCTGAAACTTTTTTTCTTTTCGTTGAAAAATTTTCCAGTAGTCCTCATGAGAAACCAGATGAAAAATGAATTGTATCAAACCATGATTTAAACATTATAGAAAAAAATCCTCGAAACCGGCTTAAAATTATAAAGTGGCAAAATAGCAGATATTGAGTAAATACAAGCAATGTTTTCATCGTGTTCATTTTTCGTTTGATCCTTGATGGTAACGGAGGAAAATTTTTTGATGAAAAGAAAAAAAAGCTTCAGAAATTCTTTAAATCACACATAGATCAACTCAATTTTTTATACTGATTTCGAATATCATATTAGTGTTCATACAAATTGACAGACGTTGATATACGATCAAAGACCTTATATCAATAATGTCTCGGTATAATATATGAGCTACTTTCTTATTGTATTTCTGTAGGATGAAATAAAAGGTTGGTGAAAAAATGTATCTCAAAATAAATAGAATAAAACAATCTTCCTATGATTAACAGCAGCAGCTACATCGTGTTTCATATTTTAATCTCGCAGAAATTATATTAACAGTTTTTCCATTCAAAATTCTGAAATCTCTATCAATATAAAGTTCACTGTTTTTCTCCTTAATTATATTCTATGAATTTATTTTTCGTTAATTCAATTCAGAGATATTGTTTTTTATTCAAAGATTTCAAACAAAATTATCTTGAATAACATTTAATATGTTGTTCAATACAAATGATTTGCTCTAAAAAAAAAAGTTTTCATGTAAATATCTTTTATTATCATCGATTTGTATTACAGGAATTTACTATAGACCTTCAGATTGAAGAATAATTTGTTTAATCACTTCTCCTGAAATGCATTTTTTTCATTTGACCTATATAATGGTATAATATTGTTAACAGAAAGGTTGAAAGAGAACATGTATGCAAAAAGACGTGTGACACAAGCTTTTCAAATTTATATATTTCACATAGTTGACAACGGTTTGATATAAAAAAGTAACATTTTTAATCTCTACTTAAGCACCTGAATCATAAAGTCAAGAAGTGTTATTCCTGATATCTGTATTTAATAAAAGTTATTCAACGTTATCGTCTTCTTCTATATTGATATCAACATCTTCTGCTTTTGCTGTTGACTTCTCCGTAATTCTTTGGATTATCAATATAATACATGTATTTCTTTGATAAAGGATCATCGTTAATAAGCTATTCTAGTATCTATGAGAAGGTATACTTATTTTTCTGACCATCTCATCTGATAATCATCATACTGAACACCATCACTAGTGAACATTCAATTTGTAAATTAATCTTAATTTCTTTTATAACTACTCGAATAAGAATAATTAATTAAACCGCTATTCGCAAACAATAGCTACCATGTATAAGCTTAAATATTCAAACAAGAAAAATATAAGTAATAAGCCATAGAGATATAAAAATATCAACATAAGACAAATGTCACTGATGCATAAAATGAGTCATCATTTCTATTTGTTAACAGTTGTTGCCTTTTAAAATATAATTAATTGTAACAGGCCGTAGCTTCCATTTGACCATAGCCTTAATACATAATAAATATATTTTATTATATACAAGAACAAAATACATCACAACTAAAATTGTAGTTATACGCAATTCTAGTTAATAACAAGAAACAATCGTGAACAACTAATGAGGAAACGTTTTCAATTGATCAATCACTTTCTCACTAAAACCTACTGGATTATGAATTAACGAGTGAGCTAATTCCGAATATGATCATAAAAAATTCCCTTAGACCTTTTTATACTACTTTTCTAGAAAACTGGTTTTTCAGACTAACAAGTTTGTTGCCAAAATCATTTTTGGTCTACTCAGATTAAAGAGCATATCGAATTGTCTATACGATAATAATCTTTTCTGTTCTACAAAAATGAGTTTCAAGTCCAATAATATCATCTTAAAGATTTTCACAGTGAAACTTTGATATGTATCTGTTGTATGAACGGAAATGGTTATATCTTCTGCAAAAAAGAATGATTTGAAACAGAAAAATTTACAGTTTTCTAGACAATTCGATATACTCTATAAACTGGACAAATGAAAAAGGAATTTTACCGAAAACTTTAGTAGCCTAAAAAACTGATTTTCCAGAAAATTAGTTACTGAGAAAGTAATTGATCAGTTGAAAATGTTTCATCCTAAGTCTAATCTGGTTTTACAAGAGATATTACAATTCCAAGATTATTTTCGTCGTGCTGTAGAGATGGTTCATTAATTAAATGACCATACCCTATTAGTATTTTTTATCATGAATATATTCTTTGATACAGTGATTATCCAGTAGATCTTTTGAATACTTCTGTATTCGAGAATTCTTTTTTTTTACCAAACAATCCCTTTAGAAATCTTGTTTATTATTATAATCAATCAATAAAAATGTATGTATATGAAATATATTTAGAAGATACCGATAGATCAATGTAGTATTAAGATTTTCTTCTTTATAAGTCTTTTTAGTAGAAATCTATCTGAAATGCTTATTCAATTTTTAATAGAAATTTTTCACCAATGATCAAATCATATTTATTTATCGAAAATTGAAAAATAAAAACTTTAATTTAAATGAAATTCAAGTACAAACCAAATCTCATTTGTTACAATTAATACCAATCCATACGAACAATTTCTATATAAAATTATTCATCAACATCATTGACAACATTACATTTATATAAAAAAGAAAGTTCGAAAACAAAAATGATTTGATAAAATTTGTATGTTTAAAATCTTAGAATTATAATCTGTGTTGGATCTATTTCGGTAACAAAACTTGGTCGTTGTGCAGCCATTTGACGTGTATAAAAAGCCGCTCCTCGTTGAGTATCATGTTGGTTATCATTATCAACATCATTTATTGCATGAAGATCCTCGATACATAATTGTTTAAGAAATGTTTTTCTAAAAAAGACAATAGCTGGATTTCGAATAAGAAAAACAGCTAATCTCCACTTTCGAATATATTTTGATGATTTTTTTAGTTCAATTACACTTTTTTCTTCAAGTGTAAAATCATCTAAATCACTATGTGTCATTGTATATTGTTGTTTTTTAATTTGATTAAATAAATGTGAAAGAAATACTAACATAACTGGATGTCGATGAGTACATTCTGTATGAATAAAACCACAATATGCATTAAAACCATTATCAAATGATTCTAATTTTCGACCTAATGCTGAGTAATCTAATCGACACATATAAAGTATTGCACCAATAATACTTTTAACAAAACGTAATATTGCTGAAATAAAACCAAGAAAAGCATCTAAGAAGAAATTAAAATAAATAAATATCATATAAAAACGACGATTGTTCACTGCTAAAACATCTCCATAATGTTGTAAAAAAACATATTGTGCAAGAAGCTTATTTAAAAATAATTTAAAAGTAATAAGTAAAATACTTGGTACAATAAATTTTAAAACTTTTTCTAACGCTTTAACACTTCCATATGTAATGAATGCACCTATAGAAGCACAAACTATTGTTGAAAAAAGTGCTATAATAATAAAACCCCATATAAAAAAACCAATAAAATATCCAGCAAAATGAAAATTTCCTGTTGCATATGAAATATATTTTGATCGTTGTCTTCGTGGTATTTCACTATCATCACCACGATATACTTGTAATAAATTTCGACGTATATTAACTAAGAATACTATTAATTGTATAATAATAAGTGTAACTGTCATAGCTACAGCACATAGGTATGTTTTAACTAAATTTGGTAGTGGAAAACTCAATGGAACTTTATCCTCATTATCATCATTATTAGAGAATGTATCGATTATTGAATTAATGAGATTAATGATTTCATCAACAGTTATTTGCAGAGCTTGTTGAACAGTATTTAATGTAGGTACAACTTCTACACAAGCTTGAACAGTAATGAAAAAAAGTAGAAAGAATATGGATGAATAAAGACATAAAATACGTGATGAAAATTGAAAATCATCTCTCCATTCATAAATAAATTTTGGAATTAAACGAGCAAATAATGTTTGACTTGAAGGTCGTTGATCAGCTGAACGAAGTAAATTTCGTACATAAAGCATTTCAGCTGAATCCGGATGAGATACACTTAATAAAAAATTTTCTTCTCGTGATAATGATAATAACATTTTATTTTCTTCTGTTAAATTTTTTTTTCGTTGATTATAGATTTTTTCTATTAACATTACTGGTAATTTAACACTAATATAAGCTAAACATAGATATCTTGGAATATCACTACATAATTCTATAGCAATCAATGCTGAACCAGTACCATAATAATCCAATTTCTCACTAATATCAGTTGAATTTTCCAAATAATCATCATAAGTTGGATAATAAGTCGGATAACACATACCTTGAGTAATAATTGTAAACGAATAATCAAGCCATGCATATATTATTCCACATACTAATGAAATTATCGAATTGATATAAACAGAAGATAGAATAGGATAAAATCGAACGCCCATAATTAATACTTGAAATATACGTAAAAGAAATGTAACAAGAACGCCTTCTTTTGGGCCTGATGAGCCACCAATTTCTTGTACTATTCCAAGCAATTCATCAGATATAATAGCAAAAACAATAGCAGCAAATTTTCGATCTACATGTGAAAGAAAATCAACAGGTATTGGTGGTGCTCCATATCCATGACATTTATTTCGCATAAATGATGATCGTTTGGTCATTACTATACAAATGATGATAAATAAACAAGCAACAGGAAATGTCACTACATTGAATTGTTCAATATCAAGTATATCACAAAAAGATTTTCTATTAAAATAAATTGCTTCTTTATTTTTATTTTTATATTTATTAATTATTTCATTATGAATCTCTTTTATAATCGACCATTTAGCAACAAGAGTTCCAATAGCAACAATAATCATCAAAATAGTGATAAGACATGATGATACTGGAGTTGATTTTTTTACATGTTCAATTGCTAGATTTATTAGTTTGGGATCTTGTAATACTTCTCTATATTTAAAATTATATATTAGAAAATAATTCGATATATATTTACTTTTTTTTGTTTACTTTTGGTTCTTTTCGTTTTTTATGAATAGTTCTAATGATTTTTAAACTAAAGAAAATGAAAACAAGTGTTCCTGTCAAACAACCAAGTATAATAACTTGTTTTCCACTATTTGACTCTGAAAAAAATCTTCTTATATTATTTTAATTGTTGATGTAAAATTCCAAGAAAAAACTTACGCTGATTACATAATTCTCCTTCCCACCAAAATTTACATTCACATAACATCTCGTCTTTTACCATATAACAATAGCCATATCGTCCACATTTATTGTCTGAGGAACAATCTGAATGAGATTCGATTTTACAAAGAGAAAATTCTTAAATTTGATTACTTACTATTTTGTCCATTAATCATAATGAATAATAAAAAAATAAATATGATTTTCAAAATCATTTTCAGTATTTAGTTAAGATTTATTTCTATAAATATATTCTTCTTAAAGCTTGTAACTATATGTTTAAAAAAATATATCACGCGCTGGTTATTTAGTTCGTTTATGTCCATTCATAACCTATATTTTCTATCAACTTTCTATGTCTGTTTCGTTTCGAATTTTCATACTGATACGAAATTGTTTCTTATGATTTATTTTTAATATTCATATTTTCATATTTCAGTGTAACTTTTTCACGTGACTGATTGCAATCAAGCTAGAACGAAAAAGTGCTTCACTTAATAATGTACCTTGACTCGTAATAATAAACAATCTGAATTTAATGGAGGCGTGCTTACCGTGAAAAACAATATACTAGTTATATTCTATACTGGTTGCAACAACTTTTTTTCATACAAAATGGAGCCATTAAAACAATCAATCTTAGTTATAATATATTTGCTACGAAAACTATACTATTATTAATGATTCAGATGTATTCGGAAATAAAAAACATAGTTTTTAGGCATAGTCAGATAGATAAATAAGCTATGATGTTGTTTATATCCAGACTTGTTAAATCACGATTACGAAAAATTCTTGAACTCTTAATATACATTGCAATATAGTGAAAGAATATCTGTAGAAGACTTTGTCAAATGCTATTTTCTTTTGCAAAGAAAATGTTAGGGAAATTTAATGATTTCAGAGCGTAACATATTTTTTATTATATGTGACCGCCTTGTGATATATCAGTTCGTTTTACGCTCAAAAGTCATCTCTTTTTTTTTTTCATTCTTTAATTTTAGTTAGATCGATTTTCTTGATTAGTAACGTATTTTTTTATATAGTCATAGAAATCATCATAATATTAAGCAAAAATTTTTGATACAATTGTCATAATTAAAATCATATTTTTGATTATTAACAATAGAGTTCTGTTTTTATAAACTGAATTGAATGGAAAAATAGGTTATTTAAAACGAATAAAAAAAAAAGGCAAAATAATTTCTGACTAAAGAGAACTCAGAAATGTATTGAACACTTAATTTTAACGATAAGAGTCAATATGATCATTGTCCTAAACTTTGCTGTTCATATTTGTTTAAAACTTTTTTCTATAAGATTTTATTTTCCATTATTCTCTTATTTTTCATTGAGTAAATGACAAATATTTATGTACAATTAAAATTAGTTAATAATGTAAGAATTCGAATAAATGAAAATATTATTTTATTGATACATTCATTGAAAAATTTTTCTTAATAGATACTGATGTCTCTATTATAAATATTATTTATTAGTGAGAATTGTTTGTATAAATCCTTCGAGATAAAGTTTATGAATATATCAAAATTGTTGCATTCTTTTTTTCTATGTGCTATGTATTAGTGATGTGACAAATAGAGATATGCTGGACTGGGAAGAAAATTTGAAGGTTTGCCGAGACCGAAACTGTTGGTGATGTTGAGTGAACTGTAATGAATGGGATTGAATGTAAATGAAATTTTTCAATCATTTATTTTTCATATAAAATATATCAAAAGATAAAGAATTTCAAGCTTTACAAAACTATGTACGTTACTTTTACAAAGAATCTCTTTTTGATATTAAAACGAGTAACACACCGATGTACGTTGTAGATTCCTGCTGCTGCAGTAAAAATAGACGAAAAGACATGTGGCTTTCTTATTAAGAAATCCACTAGATCTCTAAAAAAAATATATATTCTCGATGAAATCGCCTATCTTTTCGAATATATTTCGAAACTTTAAACAACAATTTCAAGTAAAATTTCAGGACACAAAAATAATGAAAAAAAAAAAAAGTTTTACATTCATTTTGGAACTTGCTCAGTTTTTCATAAATTTCGATGAAAACATGCTGCACTACAATTCATCAGACACATCGTCTGACAGAGAACGAAATTGTGTATTTTTTTGGTGTCTGAATAGGGACTTGATAATTTGAAATTTGATTTAGAAGAAACTTCATTGTTTGAAAAATCCTGCCATGATCACCATGAAGACAGATATTTTCAACTTCCAAGAAAAGCTCGGATACCTGAACATAGATCAGCCAAATAGAAAACAAAATTCTCTATTTTCTGATATAAAATTCTTTACTTTCGAGATCCTCCATACTTTTGCACAGCACAAGCAACGATGCATCATAACTAGATTATACAGGATATATAAATGCTTAGATTGCCACACGAAGACAAAATACTCTTTTAAAAAAAATGAAGTTCTTTATCTTTTGGTATATAAATGAATATTTTGTATAAATTTAAATGAGAGAAAAATTTTATTTACATTTCATCTGATTCACTATAGCCTACCCGTCAGCTAAATATTCTATAGGTCAAGACTAGGACTGGATTAGATTTACCGACGCCACTAGTAAAAATGTAACTAGACTTGGTACCTAGCATCAATTCTTTTCAAAAGAGTTACTCGACCAACTTTTTTCTGACCATCTGGAACTGTCAGTCAACTCGTTTGATGCAAACACATAATAGAAGTATCACATATCTACCAGAAAGTGTATCTTTTTATACTTTTTCAACGAGATCATATTCATTTTTATTGTTGAAGTTTATTGTTGTTTATTTTATTAGGAGAAAAACTAAAATAAAATATTTCAGATGCATTCTCTTTTTTTTGCATTAATTTTTTCATAAGATAAGGAACAAATAAATATAGTGTTAATAAATAGAAATTATGAAATTGATATTTTCTGAAAACGTGCATCGATACTAAAATTAAGAAATTGAAGAAAATTCAAAGAATTTCTTTTTCTGTATTTTATTACTATAAAAATTTACTAATGCTTCATCAGTAAATATTAGCTTATAATATTCTGAATGATGCTCGCTTGCACTATTTTATTTAAATCAAAAGAACAAAGTCTACTATGACTTTTGCTTGTATTCATTCAAATGAAATCTCATCACTAATATGATTATTTACTATAAAAAATACAATTATATCTTTTTTATGTTTGATCAAATAGATTAATGATGTGCTTGTAATTTAATTAAATTATCTGTGCTAAGAATTCTGTGACAGATGTCTAAAATAAAAATACTAAAAGTACAATCTTATTATTTATCTTTATTTATTCTGATTTCTGTTTCTATAATAAGTAACGAATATATTTTTGATTTCTTATGATATTATAAAAAAAACAGAAAATTTTGAATTAATGAGGTGGATAAGGAGGAGGCATATTAGGAGGATAGACGAGTGGAGGAAGAACACTTCCACTATTCGGTGGTGAGTTATATGTTGGTGGCATAAAATATGGATATTGAGGCATTTGTCCTTGATATTGTGTATATCTCTGGTAACCTATATTTCCTGTATGTTCAACATTATGTGAAGACGTCTTCCATGCATTTGCTATTCTAAAAAAAAAAATATTAGAACAAAAAAATAAGCTATAAATAAAATTTCAAAAACTAACTGTGAACGAATCTCTCGTCTAACGTGTTCATTTTTAAAAGGATGAAACCAATTATTAGGTCTTTGACGAACATGTTCCGGTGTCCAATTTTCTCGATATACAATTGTACTTAATTCTGGTGGATTAATAACTTTCAAATGATTTTGCATAGCTATTGTATTAAACATATATTCAATAAATGGAATAGAATGTCTTTGTTTTACATAATTAGCAATTGCATCTAATAATTTTCGACTACAACCAATAGCACAACACATTGAATGATACCATGGTGGTGAAAATTTTCCAGGAACATCAGCCCATTTCCATGTTGATGTATCACCATATAAATTTTCATCATTTTTTTGACAAATTAAATCACCACCATTATTTTCATTGGAATATTTATTATGTAAGAAAAAAAATGCATCAACTGATGGAATAAATGAATCATCTTCAACTAACCATACAAATGAATAATCATTTTGTTTTACTTGACAAAAATAATATAATACTTTATCCCATGCTATACAATCTTTATGCATATCAATTTTATTTGATGAATGATAACCATTTGATATACATTCATTGTTATTTATTTGTATAAATTTTATTAATGAATTTGGTTGTGTCTGAAAATTATTGTCATCGATCATAATATAAACATCAATATTGGAAATTGATCGCGGATCTTGTGCTAATTCTTCAGCAAATTGAATTATTTCAGAATCAGGTGTACGGCATAAATAACAAACGGCACTTTTTTTGCTATTCATTTCTGATATATTTTTTTTTCTTTATGTTGGACTTATCTGGTTAAAACATCGAGATTTATACAATGACAACAAAAAATATGACTGTTAGATAAGAAACAACAAAAAAAAAAAAACGCTGTTTTTTCTCTTGTCCCTCACTCTTTCAATCTGTCAATTACACACAGGTGATTCATATTCTCAGATAGATTTCTAGATATATCCAGTAGAATATTCATCATTGCTATTTTCACCATCGTAAATCAATGATGATGCTGGTGATGTTTGTGATGATGACCATTGTAAATGATTCATATGTTGATTCGTTTTTGGATCTATTTGTTGTTCTAAAAATACAAAAATGAATAATAGATTTTGTAAGAAACAATAATAACAAAAAAAGAAACTAATATTTAATCTTTTATATTTACCTGTTGATAAACGAAGTGTATCGACAAGATTAAGATTATTATTATTATTTGCTAATGTTGCATATGTAGGTGGTGAACTTGTTGTTGCACATGGTTTTTTTTTCATTCGAGCACGAGCATTTTGAAACCATATTTGCGTTGTTCTTTTTGTTAATGCTATTGAGTAAAAAAAAAAAGAAATAAATCAAATACAAAATATATTTCATATATATTTAAGAAAAAAATAACAAAAAAAAAAAAAAAGAGAACAATAACAACAACAAAATTTAATAACGCACTATCACCACTTTTGTTGGAACTTGAACTGCTGCTACTGCTACGTGTATTTCGTCTTCGATGATTTGTTTCTTGCTGAATATAACAATGATGCGAATGAGAATGAAGATGATGTTCGTGCTGAGGTTTTCGATCCCGTACCTTCTTCTGTCGAGCTCGAGTATTTTGAAACCATACTTGAATCACACGTTTACTTAATCCTAGAACACATTAGATGAAAGATGGGAATTAGAATAGCACGAACATCATAATCACAAACAGCAAGAATAAAAGAGTTATCTTAGAATTTAATATTTAAAAAATTGTCTCGAATAGAATAGATCAAATATATTAAAACTATTTTCAAAAAAAAAAAAAAAGAGAAATGCCAAATAAAATAACTATCTCTGGACTCATCGAAATTTTAAACACAACCCTATACAACAAGCTCTCATTAGACTCATATAACTATCAAGTTATCACAGCCTATTCTCATTTGAATATCGACTAAAATAGAAAATATTTCTTTTGTCTTCTCTGGATGCATAGAATTTTGTTTGTTAAGATACTTTTTTTTTTTCCATAGATAAAACTAGTGGTGGAGCCTCGAAGTGGATCAGTTCCTTCCAGAAATTTCTAAGCTGTCCTCTAAAAATGAGACGATCCTATATTATAGGTGAAGAAAATACTTGATTTTCAGTTGCAAACGACTGCTAAACCTCTTCTACATATTTTTTTCCTAATTTCACAAATGTAATTATAACTTCATTAGATTATCAGTATTAATTTCTACTCTCTTTTTTTTTCTCTAACTGATTCTCATTAATCCTAACTCTATTAGAAAGATACAAATTAGTGGAAAACTTCAATCAAATAACTATTAGAAAATTCTAAGATATTTAACTCTTTTATAATGATAAATATTTTTTATTGAAGAACAATTTTATTTTTCATACCTGTAATCTGAGCAATACGTTCAAGATCTTGTCCATCTGGATTTGAATCAACTTCAAAATTAGCTTGTAAAATTTGTAATTGTTCTTCTGTAAATGTTGTTCGTACTCGTTTAGCTTTACCTTGTTTTGTATCTTATGATAGACAAAAACAAAAAAAAAACATGAAAATAATCAAAATTAAATAAATATTCTTTCTTATATATGTTTACCTCCATCTTTTCCTTCATTTGTTTCATTTGGATCAATAAAATGTGTTTTACATAAAACATGACTACTTTGTAAAGCAAATTCTTCACCTGTTGATAATTGTCGTTTACATGTATTACATGCAAAACAAGCTAAATGATAAACATGTTCACGTGCTCGACGAACCCAATCACTTGGTTGAATATGTCGACCACATTTTGAACATTTATTACCAAAATGTCTTTTCATATAAAAGAAAAAACAAAGATATATAAAAAAAGAAAAAGAAAGAAAACTTTTGTTAAATTTTTACTTATAATAATCTTGTCGACATAAAATTTGTAGACCTTTTAAAAAACATGTTTGTTGTTTATCAAGTGCTATTTGACAAATAGCACATTGTAAACATGATTCATGATAAATTTTTGAACCAACACGTAAATAATATTGATCAGTTATAGCAATTTTACATGCAGTACACATATGATATAGATTTTGATCATCATCACCATTCTCAAATAGCTTTAAAAAAAAGAAACAAAATTAAATTTAAGAAAATTTTTCTTTATATACATTTACTTGTTCATCTTTAATATCATCCAGTAAAAGTAATTGAGTTAACTAAAGAGGAAATCAATGAAAAATAAATTATCTTACTTAACAATTTTCCTTCTCATACCTTATTGGTATGCACTTGATTATTAACACTTTCGTCATCCATCCGCAAGAGTGAATAGATATTCGTTATTTTCTTTCTTTTTTTTTTTTTTTATATTTCTTTTCTATTCAACTCTTTCTTTTTTCTCTCTTCTCCGGAACAGATAGACTCGCTTTTACTTCCTATTGGTTATTATGTTGATTATTATATTGAAAAGAAATAAATGACAACCAATGAAATAATAATAGAAGAGGAAAGAATACAAAAAAAAAAAGAAAAAAAGAAAAAGAAAATTTCAGTATGGCATCAAAAGTTATCCTAGTTGATCAAGCGAATAATCTCAAGTGCTCAGCAAACATTAAAACGCAAGAAATAGTTGAACACATGTGATGATTGAAGTACTCTCCTATAAGCATCTCCTTTTTTTTTTCCTATCTCTTCAACAAATTGACCGAATTCTCTCTTGACAAGAAAGTTTTACTAATAGAATTAGATTGCGGATTCTCTATTTACATTGTCTTGTAAATGAAACAAAACTCTCAGTTGAGAGAAGACGAAAGTCGGGAGGGCCCCCAACGGCGATGAAAGAGCAATGCGCATAGTCTCGCGCATTGACATCTCATGCCAATCAAAGTTAAAGAAAAGGAAAGTGAATCGTGTCGTGTCCGGATACAAGCGTCAGGCTAATTGGAGGGAATGCATAGTTGAATAAAGACACACACATAGAAAAATAATGAGCACTAGTGAGCGACACAAAATAACAAAAAAAAAAATCTACATATATATATGTATGTTTTTTTTTTTGACATGAGATCAATTTATTGTTTTAAATCATATGAGTTGTTTTTTAGAATACTATTTACTTGTTTCTTATAACATGCTGTCTTATTTTTTTTTATTCATCGCCTGCTGAGTATATTCAGCGAACCTCTTTGACACACTTAAGCTGTTCGTCTATTTTTGGCTATATGTATATATACAGTTGTTTCACTTGTCCTGGTGGGCAAACCAACTGTCCCAATGAAAAAAAAAAACATATGTAGATAGAACAAGAAGTACAACTGTCTTCTTTTTCTTTTTTATTTTATAATACGATGTAATGATCGGGAAAAAAAAGGATGTCGAGAATAATCTTTTATTATTTTTTTTTCTTTTGAAAATTAGTAAAAGTTCTTTCGAGCGTACAATACATCTTTCACCGTTGTATGTTTCCTGTTCAACTTGTAATTAGACATTCGAGTTGATTTTATCAAAGAAAGTAAAATTTTGATCCAGTTTTATCACTTATTGATTCATCATTAATTATATGAAATTTAGATTTTTGAAAATCATTTGATTTATTAAAAATTTCTTTTAAACGATTTGATATTATATATGATTCTATTTGTGAAACATCAGAAAGTTCTAAATGATATAAAACACAGAAAAAATAATGTTGATGATGCTATTAAATAAACATTAAGAAATATTGCTGAACTTATATAAACACTTAGACCAATAATAAGTACGGGAAACCATGAAAAATGTAAATTAATATTTGTTTCAATTTTATCAAGAATATAAGCAGTGAAAACACACGAACCAATCTGAATATAAAGAAAAAGTTGTTTTTTTTTTGATCTTCCAAATAAAAAAAATTTATGAAAAGATTTTACTGTGATTGTTGTTCGTCCAATATATAAAAGAATGGCACAAATACGATCAACTACAAATATACGTAAACAATTTTTTAATAATAATCTTGTTGCAATAAAAGCTGATGAACAAAACCATTTACCACTGATCGCTGTCTGAATAATAATTTTTTTTTATAGTCAAAATAAAAAACATTTTAAAAAGAAAAGAGTATTATACCATAATATAAGTATATCTTGAAAAAAATTGAAAACAACATCGAACACAACTAAGACAACCTTTAATTAATATTAAACAACATTTTCCATAACTATCAAGATTCATTGTTTCCATTCGATCTTTAATTAAATCGATTAAAGTTCGTATTACATCAATAATAGCAATAAATGAACTACCAAATGCAATAGTACCCAAATGATGATGCAATGTTATTGATAAACCTTGAAGACAAAGACATTTATGAAAATAACTATGACAATATTTTTCATTTAATTGATTTATTTCTCAATAATAACCTATAAAATAAATCTTCATTAAGATTGTTCAAAAAACTTGTAAGGAATTAAATTATTTATTATAAAAGGACTTCTCAATAAAATTTTAGTTCATTTTGTTTTTTAATAAACCATTACTCATAATTAAGAATAATCTCTCGAAATCACTTTTATTTCTCGTCGATATCTGAGATCATGGTCATCACTACGTACTCTATAACTACCATTTTGTCTAGAAATAGATATTTGAATATCATCACAGATTAACAAATTCATATGTCTTCTGCTCGTAATATCATGATATGGTGTGAATGTGTACCTTCTCTTCGGTAATACCCATACTCAAGGCGTATTAATAATTGATCCCATAATAGAAACTTTGAGAGCTTCTATTGCGACAAAGGATTTACAGTAAAACCTCTCGAATGTGGACACCATCATCGGAACTGGTCAAACCGTGGTCACTTTACAGAGGTACCCATTATTCGGAAGTTTTCAGCTTGTTTTTTTGTTTTGCCTACATGAAGTATTCAGTTACAATCGGTGTTCGGCTGTACAAGATGATCTTTTTTTTCTTTCCAACAATTAATTAATTCAACTTTTTTTTAATCAGAAATAAATCAACTCATATTGATATGATTTTATGTTACTATTTATTAACACAAAAATGGCGAGATGTTAAACCTAAGCACTGTTGCTTCTAATATTGTTCTTTTTCTTTTAAATATCTACAGTTAGTCCATCTCCTTTTTCTATGTATTCTATGATTGTTTATCATAATCCAATACAATCATGGGACTAGAATAAGGAGATGCTTATATTTGAGTTGATCTAATGTGTAATTTGTCGTGTGACTTTGTTTTTCAGTATATAAAATCTTACAAAAATCATTATATCATTCCAGATGAAAACATAAGTCTTCTCTAATTCTTATCTTTTGGATCATCTAGACCGAATGATTAAAGACGCATAAAATTTTTTTACTTAAGCTTGTTCTAATTTTCTAGAATAAATTTTCTAACACATTTTGTTTACATTTTGAAACAAAATTACCCATGATCATCCGATAGTAATGTGAAATCTATATTCAAGTTATAGTTTATTTCTGTATCGTTTTTTTTTGTAACAACCGAAAAGCTATATACAGGATGAAAGATCTCATAGATAACGAAAATGAAAGGCAAATCTGTAGAACAATTGGCAAGAAAGAAAAGATAAAGAGGAAATCGTTATGACTGCATCTGAAAAAGATGCAAGTCATAACAAGTACATAGAAGTAACAAATCATGTCATTTTTGTCTTATAACGAATTCCTATTGATAATGAAAAACGTTTCAGATTTATCTCTCAATTGTAACCATTATTCTTTCTAATTTACATGAAATCTAGTGAGAAATTAATGTATCAATCTGAAACAAATAATTCATTAGTTTAATATCTTTCTTAATAATTATATTTCAAAAATAATCAAATTCGTATCTTTCTCAATGTTCATATCATTTTTTGAATAGATCATTTTTCTTTCTCTTTAAATCGATAATAATTATATTTTCTAAAAAAAAAAAAAGGAACTTTCTTTTCCCATTCTTCATATTTTTCATAAAACAAAACTATATAACTTACAAGCAAATGTACATGCTAAAACCATTTCTTCAAGTGCAATTGTTAATGCTAATAACCAATAGATAATAAATATATTAAAAATATTAATCAACCATGAATGTTGACTAAAAAATTGAGATAAACGATGGCTCCATATTGTATTGAAATAATTTTCAAATGTTTCATCAACAAAACCATATGATACATAAACACATCGAATACGATCTATTGAACAATTTAATTGTGAAAAATTATCTGGATTACAATTATCTCATTCATTATAATCAAAATATGTTTTAGGTATTGAACGACTATTTAATTTTTTTGATTCATTTGATATAACATATGTACGAGAAGATTCATTTTGACATGATTGACCAAAATCTTGATTACAACTTATTAGATAAATAGATCGTCCCAAAAATTAATAAATCATAGATTTAAAAATGGAAAGTTTATTTTCTTTTTCTTTTTTTTTGTTTCACCAAAGTTGAATAATAAGCAAGAACTAGAATACCCATAATAATAAAACAAATATTCAGAATAAATGTAAGTATAGGCCAAATTAAAGTTGTTAATGCATAACTAATAGCTTTATTGGCTTCTTCAATAAGAGCTACAAAACAAAAAACAATGGTTTTAAACAATTGCATTACAAATCTTAATTCTAACCTGAAGCTAATACAATTCTTTCCTATAGACAACATGTACAAAGTATTAAAATAATACATATAATACAACAAACAATTCTTAATAGTAACCAAATAATACTGATCGGTGCAAATTCATCTAATAAAATCATAGCTGTATCAAATTTTTCAAATGTTAATTTTTGTTTATTTGTTAAATCTGTACGAGTTATTGTACTAGTATTATCGTCATCTGAATGGATGGAAAAAGGCAGAAAGGAAAAATGTCGAAAGGAAAAAATATCAAAAACAAGAATATGAGATGAAGATGAACATGCAAGATTGAAGATGAGGGTGAGGGAGATTTGTACTTCAATATATTCTCGTTTTCAGCATTTCTATCCATCTACATTTGTATTATTTTTCTTTTCTATATTTTTCCTTTCTGCCTTTTTCCATCATACCACAAATTCAATTAATGTTATGTATGAAAATGAGCAATTAATATTAACAAATCATGAACTTGTAGAATTATTTACAGAAGATTTAGGAAGTCATTTTGATAAAGTAACAGATGAAATTGATATAATAACAATAATACTTTCAATACAATTGCAATTAAAACAAATTTGTCGAAATCAAATACGTAAACGTCTTTATTCTTCTCAAATAGGTGATCTTAATCGACAAACACTTCAACATTTTGTTCTTCCATAACTTTGAATTATTTTTAAAGATATATTTATGTTATTATTTCGATTATTATTTGACATTTGAACATGAACAAGATAAAACTTGTCAAATGTTTATTTCAATTCATTGTCTTTGGACTTTTTTTTTAAAAGAAAAACTTTACTTGTTATATAAATATATATTTTGATCGTTTCTCCTGATTTATATTTAGAGAAACAATTTATCTAGTTGTTCTATTATGCTTTTTCTTTAATTTTTCGATAATTAAAACTCAAAGAATATACACGAAGAAATCCATTTTATATTTATTCTTTATTTAAGTAATATATAATTGAATTCGAAATCGAATTTTATTCATTTTTTTCTTTAAAAAAAAATCATAAATTATTTTTTTTTAAATTCGAATTATCCAAAAATTTCATTTTAATCTTAGCTTTTTAATTAATGATTCTCTTATGATATTTATTGAAAAAAAATATATTGATTATCATTAAGTTTTTATTCAATTTAGTTAATAGGAGATTTACACTAAATTGACATCATCTAAATATAATTACCATCTAGTCCATCAGGGCTGACCCGAGTCAGCCAACATTGGGGGATTGTACCGAAATTTTGGTGGGTTGTGGTTGGTTTTGTAGGGGACGTAGCATCGTTTTTCCTAACAGAATACAAGAAAACTTTTCGATTTTCTTGGGAAAAAATGGAAAATTTTGAAGATTGGGGGTTGTCACAACCCCAACAATCCCCGGTCGGGCCAGCCCTGGATTAAACAGTCATATTTTGCATTTCAATTTTCCATCACTTAATAAATTATATTAAAAAACAAAAAATGTCACAAGATGCAGTGTGAAAAGCTCTACAATCTACAAAGAACCATTTATTCGTTAAAATTGCTCAAGTAATTGCAAAAATATATCGATAGAAAAATTGTCGTGAACTTTTTTCCATATATTATTTTACTATTCTTCAGTTGGTACAATAATATAAGAATTTCGATCAAAGTTATTCACATCTGATTTTGTTAGATAAGTAAAACTGTCGCTTCTACAATAAATCCCATACTGTACCATATATATTCAAGCGAGAGTTATTCATGATAAACTATATTTTGTTCTCGACAGTCAGACTTCGCCTTTCGGAGCAGTTGAAATATAATATGAATAGTTTCGTGAAGGTCGAAAAGATGTTGAAGACGAAGAATGACCTATCCGACCTGTAATTCAGACCGTATCTTTCATGATCACTCTCAATGTCAACTATTACGATATATAATTAGCCGTGATCTTTTTAAGTTTACGATGATCGACGATTACTTGTTGAATGGCACCATGATTCAGATCAGTTTGCGCTTGAAACTCGTCAATTGTACTATGAGGGTCATCATTAATAAGGCAATTGGATCTATTCGATCTTTTTGAATGTTGTGACTCGAATCAACATCCGTTCAAAGTGAGATCCTAGATTGGCCTAGGCCGATCTGAGATTGAACGCTAACATATATGTCAATCCAACGTTGAAAATAGTTCGTATTCAACACATATCATAGCAAATATAAATCCATTTACAAATAAACTTTTGCAAAAACTATAAGCATTCCTATAAACATTTATCATTTATTTTCTTTATTATACAGTTCATTTGTCTTACATTAAAGAAACAAATATGAATATGATCAAGATTTTAAAAAGGAATGCCGATATTTTTCTTTCTTACAGACTTTGCTTCTTTTTTTTTTAATAATATTCAAAAAAAAAACAGATTGCAATACACAAAAACACTGCCGAAGAATAAGAAACAAGCAAACAAACAAAAAAAAAAAAGATTAGAGAAAAAGCACCAAATAATTTTATCTAACTTGTGACTTTTGCCGATGTAATAATCATTGATGAAACATTACCTCTTGTTTTAACATTTCGTAATGAAAATGGTTGTTGTCGATTATTCTCATTTTTATTACCTGTTTTTGTTGATATTGTTGTTGTTGTTAGTCTACGTCTCGAATTATAATAATGATTTGACGAAGCTAAAACTGATTTTTGATAATTTAATAATGGAAACATTTGTGCATGTTGTTCCAATGCATTTTTTGCAGCAGCCATTTCAGCATCATGAATTGATCGTCCAACACCAACAGATAAACGTTGTTTACGAAAAAAAACACCAACTTTATATTGAACATTATTTGATGATCCAATAGATTTTAAAACTCGATATTCAGGTAATGGTGGATTACGATCATTTGGATCACGTAATGCTAAACAACAATGTTGTAAATTTGATTTTGGATCATTCCAATGTTGTGTTGATATAAAATCTTGTAAACGTGGAAATATAGTTGCACGACAAAATGCATAAATTGATTCTAAACCTTGATCAATAAATAAAGCAGCTATAAATGCTTCAAATACATCTGCTTTAGCTTTTAAAGATTTTTCAATTAATTTTGGTGTTGTTATACGAAGTTGTTCACGAACATAATCTACATATTCTTGCATACCTAATTCATCATAGATCACAGCTTGTGTTGGATTAGAAACAGTACATGAACGAAGTAATGATAAATGACCTTCATGATGTTCAGGAAAATGACGATATAAATAATCACTTACAACAAAATTGAGTACAGTATCACCTAAATTAGATACAATACAAGATTTAAAACAATCGTATGTATATCAAACTGAAAACTTCGATTTGTTTCATGTTGTAATTAGTAAATTGTGTATAAATATATGGATTGAAAGTTCAAATACTTAAGACATATTTTATTATTCTTCAACTCATATAATAATAATAATAAAAGCTCGATAAGAAATGTTTGTTCTATACAATTTGATGCGTTTTCATCATCTTTTTCTGATAGTCAAAACTGCTGCTTTCTATCGTAATTCTATCAGAAAAATTATTCAAAATACTTGATGATTATTATCACATATCATAACAAACATCTGTACATTCCATGGGTTAAAGAAGTCAATATAATTTGACTATAGATTTTCACTTGTATAAGGTTAATTATGATAAATATGTGTCAAAACATAGAATGAAAATATCTTGGAAAAAGCCAGTCTATATAAAATTGTAATCCAAGATAGATTTGAATCTTCAAATTTGTCTGAACACACTCCTTATTCATTACTTTACAATATCATTTCTTATGTATTTATCTATAATAGTTCATAAAATTTTCTATTACTATTAAGATAGAGAGATACAGATGATAACACTAGGGGATGTGCAGTTCCAGTATACTGACCACTAAAATATCGTAGTTAGTGCGCACTGACACTAGTATCCTAACGGACCTTATGTCGATGACTTAATGTTCAGTATTTACACTAACACTATACATCCCTAGGTAACATAATTATGAAATCTTAAATCGACAAAATAAATACTTTTCGGATATTGAAAATTTCATATAGAATTTATTTTATCCTACCAAGAAATTCTAATCTTTCATTATCTTCAATAGTTAAATCATTTTGTGGTATTGGTCTTGTACAAAAAGCTTGTGCTAACATTCGAATATGTTGAAATTCTAATCCAATATCTTGTTCAAATTTAGTTAATTGTTTTAATAAAGGTACTTGTTCAATTAAATGACGATCACTAATTGGATATTGAACTTTTAATGGATATTCTTGTAAATTATCCCATATATAACTTAACTGTTTATCTTGATAAAAAAGAATTTTCGATAAAATTTTATCAACAATAGCCTAAAAGATAAAACAAAAAAATCGTTTGACTTTTTTTTTTCTTTTTCATAACTGAACTTTTTTACCAATCCACCATCAAGATAAATTGCACCCATTAATGCTTCAAATGAATTTGCTAATGCATGATTAAGTGCAGAATGTGAACATAAATCTGGTCCATGATTATAAATAATAAAATGTTGTAAACAAAGATTTCGTGCTAATGATGTAAAAAAATGATTTTGAATTAATCCAACACGAAATGTTGATAAACGACCTTCATCAAATTGTGGAAATAAAAAAAATAAATGTATTGATACAAGAAATTCTAATAAAGCATCACCTAAATATATTTCAAGAAAATTATGTAAATAAAAAAAATAAATAAATAATTTCTTTTTTTTCTAACCAAGAAATTCTAATCGTTCATAATTTGTTATTTCTGATATATGTTCACATGTTTTAGCTTTTTTAGCCATTATTTTAAATAATGTGGATACTCCTCGTTTAGTTATTGGTCGAAATAATTGTTTTCGATCACCATAAACTGTATTTCGTATTCGACAATTTGCCTTTAGAAAATAAAACGAAATAATTAATATACAAAAAAAAAAACAAACAGAAATTTTAAAACAATCATACTAAAGTATTTTTAACATGATCTGGATTTGGACCAAGATTATTATGTAAAACATAATTTCCACTTGGATGTGTTAATGCTAATTGCATTAACCAACGATTATGAAATTGATATCCAACTAATTGATTTTCTAATTCAGTTAATGATTGATGAAAACGTAAATGATCATGTAATGATGATAATAATAATGAACGTTGAATTATATCAGATTTAAAACCAGTACGATATGCATATTCAGATGATATTTCTACAACAATTTCACGTTTTAATTGTTCAGCATGTTTAGCAACAATTTGTTTTAAACGTTGTTCTTTATCACGTAAATTTGCTTTATCTTCTTCAGTTGGTGTACGATTTTTTAAAAGAAAAAATACTTTTAAATAAGATTTATATGCTTGACGATATTCTTGATTATATTGAATGGATAAAACAGCAGGACGAATACCTAAAAATAAAATAAAAACAAACTCTCTTCTTCAAATTTAGTTCTCAATGATATCTATTCTTTATTGATATTAAATAATAGAGAATTGATACTTTTAGCTTTATATATGAAACTATTATCTCATAAAGAAAACACTCAAATTGATAAATCTTATTGCTGCTAAGATACTATAGTTTTACTGTATTTTTTATACGAATGCCGTGATCCTGAACAACTGATTTCCGAACTTTGACTAGACATTCTGCATAAAGACAGACCTTAACAAGAATAGGTTGTTTTTTGAATGCTACTGTTCTTATCCTAAGATACAATTATGGGAATAGCGTGTTTTTTAAATCAATCATATATAATAGTAAATTCTATGTTCTTGTTTCAGGATAGAAGAAAATCAAAAGATCTAAAACTTTTACAATAAACTATTCTCATCAAGAGCAATAAGCCAAGGAGCTGAGCTGTTTTCAGGATATTCATAGCTCATTTGGTTCTACAGAATATATTTAGTATTGACGCAAAAGCGATTTATCAGTAGGAAGACTTTTCTCGTCAGTACTGCCATTTCCTCGTTATAAATCATGACAGACATACTCGCAACATTGATGGCTGAATTTCTTAATTGCTATTTTTTCCTATTCCTTCACATTCACAATAATATATTACGATTAACAGTAGGGAATATTTCGTTAATCAAAACATTTATTGATGAATTCTCTCTTTAACAATGTCAGCAGCTCCATTGTATTTCACATTTCAATCCTATAGAAATTGTACTAAAAGCTTTTTAATCATATACAGCAATAAAATGTGTCGGACAAAAAAAGAAATAAAATGAATTTACTGTACATCATTTTTGACTAAATTTTAATATAATTAAAGGAAACATTAATTATTATTCAAAAATCAGATGATCTTCGATGTTCTGAAATGCTTCTACTTACAAAAAAAAGTCAACTATATCTTGATAAAAATATTAAAATCAAAAATTTTGAAGTCCATTGATATGAATTATCATAAAAACTTTACATTGGAAATATTTATACTATTCATCGTATTTTTCCTCAAAGTTAACTTCAAGGCAATAATGATGATGGTCAGTCATCATTTTATCCATCACTAGTATTTGCCAATATTAGGAAAGATCATTCATCAGTAACTAATAAGTTTGATTAAAGATTATTTTAATCAATAAATCCAACTGTATAGTCCATTTTGCGATATTTTCGTTACACTTATCTATAGATCTTGAACCCGCAAATCTTTGATCAAACTTTATAAAATACCATTATTTTTTCTGACGAAAAAAAGAATTCAATAGACAAATTTGCCTCTATCTAGTATCGGTAACTTCTTCTCTTCTTCCTAGCTGATATTTACTAAATAGTTATTATCGACACTGTTGTGTATCCCTATGAGAATTATGTTTTATGATTGTAAAATAATTTTATATAACTTTTAATCTTACCAAAATGAACAATAACTGGATAAGAACTATTTTCTCGATCGAGTTGATCGAGTCTAATAGCACCTGGACGATGTTTTGGAAACCAAACAATTGAACCTTGTACTTTCGATACATATTTATCCCATGCATCAACAGACATTGATTTACAACGTGAATATAAATCATTAGGCATTAAAGGTTTAAGATGTTTAAGAAAATATTGTATTTGTTCAGCTGGATGAAGTAATTCTTTTCCATTATCAGGTAAAATACGTGCAAAACGAGGAAAAAAATGATAACATGTACAAGTTGATATATCATTATTATTATTTAATGGCCGCCATTGAATATCATATAATTCACAAACATCAATAAGAAGATATTGTTGAAGAAGATCAAGTTCTTCGATTGTATAATGTTCTAATGGAGATTCTTCTTCTAAACCAATTGCATAATCAATATTATGATAAACAACAATACAATCATTCACCTAGAAATATTATATAAATGTTTTATTTTTATTTAACAAAAAAAACAAAAATTAAAACTTTTATTTACATTAGCTAATGATACATGAGAAAGAACAGAAAAACCTTCGAATATATAATCATGATCATCATAAGTTATCACTGTTGGTTCTTTTAACTAAATGAATAAAATATGTATTTCGTTTTCTTTCATATAAAAACAAAACTAGACAAACTTACAATAAAATTTGTTTCCGGTGTTAAAGTAATACGATAATGAAACAATCGACCAGCATTATTATTCCATTTTTCACATGGTATTATTGGCTTTAAACAAAGAAATAATCATTTTCTATGTATTTTATTAGAAATATATATAGAAAAAGATCAACATCATCGACAACAGCAACAGTTAGTGACCTGTGGTTTTTAGAAATCGAAATAGAAGAACTGCGAACGTCTTTTGTCTGATACTATATACGACAAAATTATTTTAAAATTCATCATCTTCTCAAAATATTCAAAAACTATGCATGAAAACAGTATTCCATTTAAAAAGTCAGAAAATTTGCTCAAAATCAAAAGAATTCTATATAATAATTTAACCAAATAGATATACAATTTCGTTTGCTCAACGTAGTGATATGCGAAGATATTCATCTGAATAGTTTCTTGAACTATAGATCTGAAGTTTCTCTATCAGAAACACAAGTCAAAACCAATATAGTATCAGGCAAAAAGACGTCCAAAGTTTTTCTTTATCGATTGCTGAAAATCATAGATTGCTAGCTGTTAATGTATTAAGATTGCACGTCATTCCCTCTTTGATTCTGATGTGGATATTATATATGATTTGTCACTTAAGGGTATTCTTCGTTTTTTGTTATGACCACTTCCGATTCTCGACAAGGGTTCAAGGCTGAAATTTTTACTACAGAAAGAGTACCTAACATAAGTAGACATCTGTTTGAGGAAAAAAATTTCAAAGTGAATTTTGACGGTGAAACCTTAGTTTTTCATAGGATCACATCCTCGTGCATCACAACCATCATCATGTTTTGTCCAATTGGACTGAAAATATTTTTAGAGATACTTAAGACTATATCTCACAGGGAGTTTTGAGCTTTTTCGAATATCTTACTGTCTGTGTTTTTTTATGAGAAAAATACGTAAAGATTCGAAGCTAAAATCAGGTATTTGACTTTTAGAATCTTATAAATCCGAACACGAAAGCAAAAAAATGAAAGCGGCTGATTATACTCTTGGAGAATACTTTCCAAGTATCTATGGTAAAAATCTCAGCCTGTTTGGTTGTATTCTTAACTCTTTCCAATAATGTGTTCATGAATACCTTTTCACCATAAAACATTTGATGACGAATACCAAATTTACGATCATCATTACTGCATCGACATACAGGACCATCATTACCCTAGAAATCTACTTATATGAAAACATAAACAAAGAAAATCTTCTTAAACCTGTTTATATTCATTAAACCAAAGTTCTGGATGTAAACGATTAGATACTTGTTGTTTACGTTCAATTTCTAATGTAAGTAAATTATCACTGGCTAAACTTGCTGCTGTTGCTTCACCTTCTTCTTCACCCTCTTCTTCATCATCATCATCATCATCTTCTTCTTCTCCACTTTCACTTGATGTATCTGATTCGAAAACAAAAAAAAACAAAAATAATTAAAATTGAATATTTATTTCTTTACCTTTAGATTTTATTTGAGATTTATTAGATTTTATATTAGAACCAATTTGTTTTGCTTTATGAAACATATATGAATGATCAGGTTCATCAAAAATCTTATTTTCTTTACGAAATATTTCACGTTGAAAAAGAAGATCAGAACGAAATTTTGCACAAAGATCTTTTAATTTTTGTGTTGCATGAATTAAACGAGAATTCTAAAATATCAATAGAATAATAAACATTTAAAAAAAGGAAAAACAAACTAAATCTTACTTGTTCATCACGTCGATAATAAAGTTCAGATACACATGTACGTACATATTGTGGTTTAATTTTCGTTGTAGATACATCATTTATATCTTCATCAGAACTTGAACTAAAAGAAAAATAAAATTTTACATTTTAAATAAATGAAAATTATTTAATAAATTAATTTTTATACTCATGATATTCATCTTCAATTATACTGTTATTTATTCGATGTCTTTTCGATACTGGTGATGCAGGTTGTTCACGACGTGGAATATTTCGATCATCATTACGAGATGATTGATCAAAATTATATGAACGTTTATTTCCTATTTGTTTATTATTATTATCACGTAATGATGATGAAGAAACAAAATTTCGTCTTCGATCTTGATAATCATTTTTTGAAGTCGATATTTGTCTTACATCTTTCATTAAAAAACACAAAAAAAGAATTTATGATTAGAAAATAAAAAACAACAATAAAACATTTCACCTGTTGTTCTTCTTTGTGTATTATCTGTAGGTAATGATGGTCGATTTCCAGTTGAAACATTTGAATTAGGTAAAGGTGGAGGAGGTACAGAAAATATATGTTGAAAAAATTGTTGTTGATGTTGTTGATGAGATGCATACATAGCGGCAGCTTGAATATATGATTGATAGAAAGTAGCAAAGGGAACTGGTGATGATGGAGGTGGTATAGAAGTCATTGATGATGGTGGAATAGTAAACATTGGTGAAATATTTGATGAATCCTGTTTATTAGGTTGATTGTTATTGCTCATATTTTATTTTTTGGTTTAACTGTAATATAAAGAAATAAATAAAAAGAAAAATAAAAGGCCAAAAGTTATTCTCGAGTTCCGTGATGAACGATTATGTGCGCCACAAAGTTTGTTTAAGTACAAGTGGTTTCGTACATGATCGTGATTAGAACAGAGAACAAACTAAATATTTATATTTAATCTCATTTTATATTGAATATGTCTAAATAAAATGAATATTTTCAAATAAATAAATAAATAAATAAATAAATAAAAACCATATATATCTAAATATATCAATAATAAATCTATTTCCTCAATTACCTATTTTATTTTAAACTAATTGATTGACTTATTAAGCGTTTAAATGAGAAAAAAAAAGAGTAGAATTTAATAAATAAGTTACAATATTAAACTGACTAATAACGTACTGACATAATTAAGAATGAATGAATGAATGAATGAGATAACACATAAGATATTTTAACGAATAAGAAATAACCCAAATGATGTCGCTTTGTATCAATAGTGAAAATTTATTGAAGAGAAAAAGTTGCTTTAATATTTTAAGCAATACATCCAATAGCAGGTGTCCCGATCAGAAATATAATGTACAGAACATCTGCAGCTTCTGAAATACATGCTGTTTTACATGTTGTTTAGAAACAAAAATTTTAATTCCTGATCTTTATAAGTTGTATATAGTAGTAAATTAAAATTTATGTAATAAATATAAACTGATATTTATCAAGTATGAGATCGATTCGATTCCAAAAAATCACCAATCCATCCCATCTCTGATGTTTATTTTCTTATGAACGCGTCAAACGATAAGATTGTTACATGTATTTACCGCTTATTAGTTGCTTAAGTACCAGTAGAAGCACTCCTAATCTTAAAATTTTTTGTATTTCTCCAGCGGAATTCTTTTGCTCGTCAATTCACAAAAATGCGCACCACCTCCTCTTAAATTCATTCAACTTTAGCAGAAATCTTCTAAATTTGAGATAGTCAATTTTTGTTGAACAAAACTCATTTGAACGAACTTTTAAACTGAGTTATTTTTTCTGGAGTTATTCTAAAAAAAATGAACCATATACCACCTATTTTACGATAAACAACACCCGATGTTCATGTAAAGTCATTAATATTTTTATAGTATGAATAGTTTTTTTTTTCAAAATATCACATTCGAAGGAGTGTCGGTAACTGCATAAAGCGGTAGATATTTGGAAGTTTCATAAAAGATGTTTTCTGTTTTTTGAGGAATCACTTTCTGAAAGATTTGGAGTGCTTGACATTATCTCGAATGTCATATTTGAAAAGAAAAATGATACAGTATTTAACATGAACTTTACATGTTATTTTGTCGAAAAATAGGTTCATTATATTATAGACAATTTGATTTTAAAAAGTTTTAGTTAGTAAAATGTAGTTCATGTTCTCCTCTGTCCATTTATATAGATTCCATTTTGTTTTTCGAACAATTCGAGAAAAAAACTTATTCAGCTTAAAAGATCATCTAAAACATTTGTTCAATATTGTTGATTCTCATTAAAGTAAAAATGTCAACTTAATTTCTTTTCCTATTTAGATTATGAAAAACTTGGTTTCCGTACACTGTTCTGATGAAAAGAAAGTGTCCACATACACATTACTCGTATAAACAAAGTGTAAGAGAACATTGTATTTTAGATTTCCATTGAATATACTGGATGTGGGTATGGGTAAAGGAAACATGCTCATCCACGCACACGCACACACATCTAACCCACACACAAAAGAACTAAAGGGACTAAAGAGGCTAATGGAATCAAGAGATACTAAAGGATGAAAAGTATGAATGTCATAATGGCTTGAAAAGCATAAATATAAAACGAAATAAATTTAATTTCTCGTGAACTCCTCATTTTGTCTTTTATTTTAATTCTTTGATTATAAGTGATTCAAACATTTAATTATTATTATTATAAAGCACAAGTCTTATTTAACTAATTTTTCATATTTTTCATGTCTATCGTCATCTAAAGCTATTATTTCCTCGAATGCAGTGGTCTGATTTAATATTCATCTTTGGTTTTTTTCTGTATAATTTCCTAGAAAATATTTGCAATCGGACGAAAAGTTTATTTTTCTTCCAACTTGTTAATTACAAAAGAAATATTAGTAACAGTTGATGAATATTATCAAGTTTTCTATTAACATAATATATGAAATAAATAATACTTCCTTGGAATATTTATCATTTTAACGGTTAAGTAATTTGCTTAAGAAAATAAAATGAATAATTTTATATTCAAAAATATTATCAATTTTTACATGGAAGAATAAATTGAAATTTATTCTTATTAGAATAAAGTGCATACATTATCCAGTTCATGGAAGATTAATCCATATAGATGCTATGCATTGCATAAAATTAAATAATTTGTCAACATTATTTTTTTTTCTTATGAAATAAAAATTTATTTACTTTCGATAAATGGCAATGTAGAACCTAAAGTACAAACACGATGTTTTTTTTTTGTGGCAGACTAAACTATGAAGTGGCATAAATATGAAAATGAGTAATAAGACCAATGAGAAAAACAAATTATTCATGCTTGTTTTACTTTCGATGTTTATTATAATTAGAGAAAAAAAAATATACTCTTTTTTTCTTAGTATTTTTTCCTGAAGCTTTCTATGACGTTCTGCAGTGTTGATTCGCATATAAATATCGATAGAAAGTGTCTTATTGTCACATACAAGTAAAAGGTACAAAAATATGGCTAAATTTCTCGTCCTTATCGTTCTTGTGGTAAGTTCTTTTTTAAATTTAATATGACATCAATCTTTACTTTATCTTCTTTGTATAGGTATGTGTGACTCTTGCTTCATGCCATCGTGGTCCATCTCGCGGATTTGGTGGTAATCGTGGACCTGGTAATGGAGGACAAGACAGGCAACGAAATTGGAATCGAACAAATGGTAATGGCGATCAGGATCGATTGATGAAAAAAGTATGCGCTAATAACTCATTGGCTCAATCATATCTTGCTCAAAATCGACAGTTGATCACCAGTCTTCGATCCAATGCATCATTGGCTCAAGCCATTAAAAACCGACAAAATTTTATAGATTTCATTGAAGATGACGACAATACAGATCTTCTCTCATCAAACTGCACTGCATTTTTCACCGGTCGCCGAAATGCTAGAAAACTTGATAGAGACACTTTGAAACAGCAACGCCGATTAGACCAATCAGTTGGCTGGTCATTTTTTAAAATTGACCGATCAATTGTCGGAAACAACAGTTCTTAAGTTGATGATTAAATTATTTTTATCATGTGATCACTTTGTTTCACATTTAAACTTACATAAATCCATCATCTAAGAAATTTAATAAAAATAAACTATGAAACTCTTGAATTTAATTAAGATGTTATTGTTGAAGACAAACATAAATTAATTTATCAATATATATGATTTGAAATGTTTCTGAATAATATGTCTAATGAAAAATTGCTAAAAAAACACCGAATATATAAGATATTTATTAATCATTCAAATTATCATAATCGAATTGCAATAGGATAATTTAAATTAAATCTTCTTTTGTAGTAAATAAATCATACTGAAAATAGATTCCTAATGATCAATAAGCATTTCGCCGAAATTCAGTAGTCTACATTTCGATGACCAAGCTATCAGCAATATTCGAAGATGATGCTTGCAATATCTTTTCATGTAGTATATATACACGAAAAAATGAATGAAAAGAATAGTTGCCGAAACGAAGATCACTAGCATAGATCAAGTTGATAGTAGAAATTCACAAGTTTATATTTGATCTTTTTGAAAATAACCATAACTATAAAGAACTGATATTCATAATGAATTCTTTTTTTTCTGTCGATACTAATATAATTATGAATACGTCAAGACTATATAATTTCTTTTCCATGTGAATAATTTATTTGAAACCAGGTTGTACTGCTTCAAGCATTAAATCAAATTTAATAAAAATAATATATTCAGAAATTTACATCATTAAAATGTCTTGGTTTTTTTTTTAACGTTCGCATGTATTCAAAATGATTTTTCAATATCGAAAATATGAAAATAAAAAATGATAAATAAAACAATTTCATAGTGTGTGTTATACATTCGTTTTCTATATAATCAAATATTTATCTAGAATCAAATAATACCATTAGCATGTTTCCAAAACATATTCTCATTAGTCCATCTTAAGATCAAGAATAATCTAAGTTTCTCATTTGATGAATGGAAGCACGTAAGTGAATATTATCAGCAATTAATATCAAAATATTTATTCATTTACTTATAATTTGATTGCACTAGAACAAAACGACATTTTGTTGCTGATGGAATTTCATGTATATCTAAGAAAAAAAAAAATTACATATAAATAATATTTAATAAACTATCGGAACAGAAAAATTGCGAACACATTAACCATTTCACACATATTTGCTAAGATTTCCTTCATATATGTTAATATAGATTGTTTTCAAGATAGCATATTTGATTGAAGAAAAAGAAAACCAAAAAAAGAATATTGAATTGAACAATGAATACAACAAAGTTATGTCATTAAGATTGAGAAAATAATATTGAATAAAACATTCATATATCATCATCTTTTTTCAAGTATTTATTAAATTTCTATTTCAATAAAAAAAAAACACATATGAACTCCAATGAATATATTTCAAATACTGAAATTTCATAAATTATTGATTTATTACAAGTATATCTCAATGATTTTATTCATAAAAAAAGAACCATTCAATCCGGATAAAACACCATATAGTTATCATATTCAGGGATGTCACTTTAACTTCAAAAAATAGTTACTTTTATAAAGCAGTTATGGTTTATATTTTAAGTTTTAATTTTTTAGTAAAATTAAGATGTTATCACTAGCTATGTTTTGTTCAAAATTCAAGAACAATCAATAATTTTTCTTTCTTTTCATAAATAATAATGCTAAGTCATATAACGTAAATGTAGAAAAAAAAAGGAAATCTTATACTCAGGAACAAAAATATAATCAATCCACTCATTATAATAAAACTTCCTTTGTATTGTTCTTGATGTCAAAAAAAGAAAAAAAAAATACTTCAGTCATAGATAAGTGAGACTTAAAAGGATCGAATAGAAAATAAAAGTTAATTAAAAAAACAAGAAGAAATATATATATATATATATGTATATATATTGACTTGTCCTTCTAAGTTAGCTGAGTACCAAACAAAAACAAAAAAAAATATATATATAAATATGCTTAATGTCTATTTGATTTCACTCAATCAATCATCACTCAACAAGTTATATGGCTTAATCTGTACAACATGTCATCAATGTAGGTTGCTAAATATAGTTAATATAATATGTTTTGTTTTTGGCTTGTTGATATTTAATATTGCACCGTATTTTTTGCATTTAAACCTAATTATATTAATTTATATTGATCACAGTTAATTTACACATTCAAATCTTATTAATATAGTAATTTACAATTAATATACTAGCATAATTTATGTTGAATGTCTTGGTTGATATGTTGCTCGTAATTGTTGTGATAAACGTCTTTCAATATCATCAACTGAACGTTTTTTATCTTCAAATGTTTCAAGTTCGACAATATTTGTATTTGATGAACTGGTATCAGTAATCATTACTAATGGTATATGTTTTGAACTTGATGTTATACTTCCTTCTGTTGTTGTTGTTGGATCATCTAATAATGAATGACTCCGTTTACGATCATTGTCAAACCTTGGTTCTAGTGTTGATGAAATTACTAATAATGATTTACGTTGTGGTTGTTCTTGTTGTTGTTTTGGAATTGTACTTGTTAGTAGACAATGAGAATTTATATTTGTATTTGATAAACGTCGAGTATGTGGATTAAGTGCAAGAGTCACTTTTGTATTATATTTATGAAGTTTTTGTATATGTGTTGTTGTTTGATAATCATTTGTATTTCCATTTTTTGGCAATGAAATAGAAGGACAATGGATATAATCTTTTGGTTCTATCTATAAGAAAATAAATACTAATGAAAAAGAAAATAAACTTTTTTTTTTAAATTAAAACTACTAGTTGAACAAAATTTGATGCATTTGAATTGATTTTAATTGGATGTTTTTGATTATTATCAAATGGATGAAAAATTTTTAATTCATCACCACTTGAGCTATCTGTTTCCCGATATAATGAAATTTTTTTCCCTATATTAGCTGCATTATGATTACGATTTAATGATCGTTTGGTCATGGCTTCAACAACAATTTGAACGTTATGCGAATTTGAACAAGAATTTACTGATATAGATTCTATTCGTTGTTTTCGTTTAGTTATTGGTGATAATCGATTTTTAGAATTTTCATTATCTATCGATGATGATGATGAACAAAAAATACAATGTTGTTTAATTTGTGATAGAAAATGACAAATCGAATAGCAACATGTTGATAATGATGATGAGTCAAAACGACGATTACGTTTAGAACGAGTTGATACTTTTCTAGTTAAACTTAAACTACTATCATATAAATGATGATGTGGAATTGATGTTTTAATCATTTGTTTTGATCGTTGACATTTCATATGAATGATTAAAGCAACCATTATTCCAGACCATACAACAATAATAGCTGATAATATAACTGTTAAACGAATAAGAATACTTTTCAATGATTCTCCTAACAAATATCGACGAAAAATATTAGTCGTCAAAGACATTTCTGTTGTAAGATTGTTCATCATCCAGTTTTATAAAATATCAACATACATTGACACTTATCTGTAATTATCTAAATGGTTAAAAAAACATTTCTTTAGATTTTTTTCTTTCTAAAAATAAAGAAAATAGAAAATACTAAAATGACTAAGAAAAAATATGACACACATTTTATTTCCTGATGAAAATCAAGTGGCATATATGAAACTATATATCATGCTAGCTACTAACCTGACGCCTATCAATTTTTAATAGAAAAAACTGAGTATAGAAAAGAAGTCCGACTTGAATGCCGACATCCAAAGTAATCATCAGAAGAAAAAAAAGAAAAGAGTTAATTATATATCTATACGTACCTACAAACATATATTGTGTATTACTTGAAATAAGAAGTCCCTTCAGACTAATTACACCAAATTCTACGACAATCATCATTGACTTCATTGCTATAAAACTAGTCTTATCAAAATCCTATCGTTATAGAAAGCATATATATGATACTTGATGAAGAAACAAAAGGCAAATGAGAGGAAAAAAAAAAAAAAAACGACGACAGACAACTTTTACTTACTCATTCTGCATCTGCTTTTCAGGTTTCCTCCCTTTCTCTCTCTCTCATTCCCTCTTTATATGTAGCATTATTGTTTTTGCTAGAGTAGATAGTCATAGGAAAGTGTAACTACCGAAAGCAAAGACAGAAAAGAAAAAGGATTAACTTGAACTGTTGTTGAGGTGTTATTTGAGCGGAAATAAATTCACTTTCTCTCAATCATATATGGTCGGTCTCTTTTTTTGTGTGTGTCTATATACAATTTCCGTAAAGCTTTGTCAATTTTATTTTCAAATCGACTCACTAGTCGGCTATATACTGGTAAATCGTTTCGATATTAATGATATATATATAACTAACAAACAGGATGCAATGCAGTTGATCATGTTTCAAGATCTGTTGCTTGTTTATCTGTTAAATTGTCGATGACAGTATGAAGAATTTTCTTTTGACATGTTAGTGAGGAGGAGAAAAAAAAAATACAATAATTATTTTTTGATAACATTGATCTGTCAAAACGCCTTCCTGTCATGCTGATGCGTATCTTCGAATGACGGATAAGGATCTTCTTTTTTTTTTTTTGATAAATTCATCTAAATCTCATGTTTAAATTGATTTTATTTACTAAGAGAATTTTTATCTCTAATTATAAATTTCAAAGTAAATCATAATTCTACTAGAATGATTTTACTTATTAATTAAAAATGTGAAGCTTAAATGAAAACAAAAAAGAAAAAAAAAACAAAACATGCTACTACTATGAAAAAAACAAAAATTGTTATTATCTAGATTTAGTAATGACGTGCATCATAATTTAGAAAAAAAAAAAAAAAGTAAAATAAGAGTATTATATAGTATTCATAAATATTTTAAAATCTATTCATAATTAAAAACCATTTTAAGCGTCTTTATTGTATTGTATTATTAAACAAAGTGAACAAATAAATCATATAGTATTCAAAGAAAATATTCTATTGTTTAGTAAAATATGATTTAGAT